CCGAAAGTGTTCAAAAATCGGAGTCTGAGGGTGCCTCGAGCTGGGAGTCGGGAAGCTTCACTTCTTATTTACTCCTCAGAGGTGAAGTGATCGATGTTTAACCATGAAGTTGTGTGAGCAAAGCCAGGGAATGGACTGTTCCCATAAAAATGACTCAAGGACCAATTTAGGGAAACAGCTTCCAGCAGTTCGTGCTGGTATCTGTTCCCAGTGGTTTTCCTTCCAGCTCCCCCAAAGCCTGCTGACTCAGGTTTGGGGTTCTCTCCAGGACTCCAGCGTTTCTGGAGGTGGGGAAATCGGCTTGGATCCTTCTCAGTATGGGCTGAGATGGCTTTTATTGTTTGCAGGTTGCACTGATGTGTTCGATGTGGGGGTTTTTTTTTTGGTTCGAAAAAAAAAAACCCCAACCTGTGACACTCTGGGCCGTAATTTCCATCGTTTCACATCGACTGGTTCAGCGTTAATTGAAGCACTTTCCATGAAATAAATGGCTGCAGTTTTTCTGCTCTTTGTTGGCGTTGAATCCTCTCCAGTCCTTCTGCTGTTACTGGGTGAGATTCCAAGAGCTGATAACAAAATCCTCGCCGTGCTCAAGTAATTTAGAAAAGAGTTGATTCTCTTGGAGATCCTCGTGTGCATGAGGTTTTATTACTCGTGTGTGCTTTTAGCAAGGACGCCGAGGCTGATGCTTGGCAAGGAGGGCACGTATTATTTGTGTTTAATTGTTTATTTTTGGGCTCCGAGAAGCCGCTTGGCCAAGTTCGGGCCTGAGAAGCCACAAGGAGATGGTGAAGTGTCCCTTTATTTCACGCTCCGTGTGCTCCAAGGTGGGGAATTGCTGGGAAGGTGACAGGTTCATGGGGCTGGGGGACACTGGCTGTGACTGTTGGGAGATTTGCTCTTTGCTGGGTTGCTTTGGGAAGTCAGGACGTGGAGAAGTGACAGTGGCAGGACAAGAGGAAACGGCCTCGAGTTGTGCCTGGGAAGATTCAGGTTGGAAAACTGGGAAAATTCCTTCATGGAAAGGGCTGTCAGACATGGGAAGGGGCTGCCCAGGGCAGGGGGGAGTCCCCATTCCTGGGGGGATTTCCGAGCCCTGTGGATGTGACACTTGGGGACATGGGGCAGTGGTGGCCTTGGCAGTGCTGGAGGATGGTTGGACTCAATCTCAGAGCGCTTTTCCAACCTAAACAATTCCATGATTCCATGGAGACTGAAGGTCTCTGCTTGGAAAGGAACAGCTCCACAATGCAGTTGGTATCCTGGTCTGGAGAGAGGGGCAGGATTTGGAAGGAGGTCGTGCCATGCCAGGGTGTTCCTGTCAGCAAGGGCTGGAATATCAGCTTTTCCTGGCCCTTCCCTGTTTCCTCTGGGGGTTTCTATCCATCTATTTTCCTCATTAGCACCCGTGGTCTTCTGGAAAGGTCCAACAAACTTGATTAGTGCTCTGATGGATTTTAGGCCTGAGTGGCTAAAACCTTAGTTCAAGCTTAAATAGAGGAGTCAGGGTTTGGGTTTGTTCCCGCCTTGCCATAATCCCGAATCCCAACATCAGTGGGAATTTTACCTGGTGGGGAAAAAACACTGGAGAGGAGGATAACCAAGCAACAGAGTAAACAGTGGCAGAAGTGCTGAATCCCAGAGTACCCCGGATCCCAGAGTATCCTGATTTCTGTTGTCTGACTTTGTCACACGTCCAAATAACGCCGGGATGAGCACGGGACAGGCAGAACAACTCCAGCTGCACCAAAGGATTGAGGGAGGGCAGGTCTGTTGAGCCACTGTTGCATCTCACCGTGGAACCTCCTCTGTGTTCCTGGGGTTCACAACTCCCAACAAATCCACGGGATCTGCTCGTTCTGGACGTTATTTTGAATTTCTTCGTTTGAGGTTCGCGAACCGAAGGCCGGGTGTTGCACCCACAGTTCTCCCCTCTGTGCCTGCTTTGTCGAACAATAAGGGCTTTTTCTCAGCCCTTCTTGCATGGTTTGATCCATGGGGTTCATCCCTAGCCACGGTTTTGGGGGATGTTGTAGCAAATGGGATTCTGAGGGGCGCTGGGAAGTAACTAATGCTTCTGAAAGCCTCCCTCGTGCAGGAATGAAGGCAAAGGAGCACCTTGGCAGTGTGGCACAACCCCAGTCCCAAAGGGTTCCAGGCTTGAGGAGTGTGCTGGTGATTTTGTAGGGTCTGAGGACTGTGCATACAGCATCTGTATCTACATTATCTAATGGGATATCACAAATGGGGAGTGCATTCTTTCCCCTGCCCCTTTTAAAGCTCATGGAGGATCATTTGGGACTTCTCAGAAAGCGAGGCTGATACCACTGCAGGTCAGGCTTTGCTGCTTCTTGGTTTAGGAAAAGTGCTGGATTATGGACATTTCAGGCTGGGAAAGAGCAATGCAATGTCTTTGATGCTTTCCCAGAGTTAGGAATGGAGCTTCATCCTGTGGTACTGAGGGAAGAGTCCGTACAAACATAAGAACTGGAGGTCCAGGAGGAATTCCAGAGAGCAGAGGGCACGAAGGAGAAGATAATGAAGTGAAGGTAAAAGTAATTTGTGTTTTAATAGGGAGAAAAGTGATATTTGGCTTTACTGTCCTGGAAGTGACCACTGGATGGTGCCTGTGGAAAGCCCTGACCTCAAGGAGTCCTGCTCTCAAAATTCCCGGAGGAAGGATCCACCTTGGCTTCGTTCAGTGGGAAGAGACCATCAAGTTCCAACCCCTCAAAAAGAACAAATTAGGGTTTGGTGGAGTTTCTCTGTCCAGACTAAGGTCAACTTTGCTCATCACAGCTGTGCTGAAATTACAGGAATATTTTCCAAAGAACTTATGGGCAGTGATCAGGGAAGAAACTTGGAGAACCTCTTCCTCACAGACTCTTGTGCCCAGCTTTCCATGTTTGATATCCAGGTTGTTTTATTCTCCCCATAACAAGGAATAATTCATCCTGCACCTTTGCCTCAATACAATGTCATTGTACTTTATTTCTCCTTTATTATAAAATTAAGAAGGCTGTGTTTGACTCAACAAATAGCGTTTAATTTTGGTTCTGCTCGGGCTCATCCGTCACTTCCACATGGATAAAAGTGATGGAGAACTTGCTGGAGATGGACACAGAGGAAACACTTCCCTCAACAAAACACTTTTGGATTTTTTTCCCCCCCTTCTTTTTTCCTTTTTTTTTTTTTTGAGTCAACATCCCCTGCAATAATCCAGGCTTTAAGTTGGTTTAAATTGGGTTATTCACTGCTAATGTTATGCAAGATTCCTGATTAGTGGTGTGGAGTCGGGAGTTGAGAGACTACTCGGAGCGGGGATGGAATTAACGTCGCCGTGGCAACCATTGTAATTAAAATGGGCGTCCTTGGGAAGCGGGGCCGTGGCCGGGTGTACCAGGGCTGCATCCATTCATCCCTGCCCTGGGAAGGGGTTATGTAAAATCCAGGGCTGGGCACTCGGGGTGAATCCTTTGTGAGCCGAGCCTTGCCTCGGACAAGCAGGACCCCGTTGGCTCCCTCGGATTCATTCCTTAAGTGTTCCTTCCCATAGTATTCCAGCTCTCCAGTCCAGGTGCTGTTGGAGTGCAGAGCTCAGTGTGAACCAAACACGGTGGTGAGGATGCACAGCCACCTCTGCTCTGGCCTCGTGGTTCCTTTGGGTTGTACATTGAACCAATTCCTACAATTCCGGCTCATTATCCCAATTCTGGCTCGTGGAAAAGCTCCGGATGAACAGCGTGGCTCAGGGCTGTTGTTTTGATGAGTTTGGATGTGGCTCCTCTGGATGTTTGTATGGCTGGAGAGCAGAGGGGCAGCACAGGGAGCTGGAACAACTTAGAATCCCGGGATGACAGAGGTTGGAAAAGCCCTCTCAGCCCATGGATCCACCCTGGGCCCCATCCCCACCTTGGCCCCCAGCCCAGAGCACTGAGTGCCACGGCCAGGCCTTCCTGGGACACCTCCAGGGATGGGCACTGCAAACCTCCCTGGGCAGCCCCTGCCAAGGCCTCACCACCCTTTCCACCAACAAAGTCCTCCTCCTGTCCAACCTGACCCTCCCCTGGTCCAGCCTGAGGCCGTTTCCCCTTGTTCTGTTGCTGTGAAGTCCCTTAACACAGGCTGAGAGACCTTGAACATCCCTTCCACCCCAAACCATTCCATAATTCTATAATGATTCTGTGATTCACAGAGGAATAATGGTGGAGAAATCCCTAAATGTCAAAGCTGGAGGAAAAACTCATCATATGAATTTTCAGGAAAACCTTGGAGTATCAGGACTGTTCTCATGCCATGGGGCACTTTCTAAACCCAAAGTAGTTTTTCCTATTATTTTCAATTTAACCTGTTGTTTCTTGGCATCTTGTGTTACTTTTGAGCGAAAGGTGACTCAGAGGTTTCTCTTCATGCTTTCTGCAGTTCTGTGTTTGATTGTTCCTTCTTCCCTCTTCTAAGGACACTGCTGTTCCTCACTGGCCATTCCTCGGTGACCTTACAAATGTTCTTCCTTTTGTGGAGCAGCTGCTTTGCTGCTCTGCCCCAAACAGATGATTTCCAAACAGATGAATTGTGTCCTGGTCAACATCTGGAGGGAAGGGAGCAAGAGAAGGAAAACAGAGGGAGAAAGAGAGAATTTTTTTTTTTATGAGTGGCTGCTCTTCACCCTTCGCTGTCTCAGGGGTGGTGGTTTGTGCTGCTCTGATTTTATACTGGTCAGGTGGGATGAGGAGGTTTTTGGGATCCTTTCTGCTGTTTCAGGCCATGCAGAATCATGGAATGGTTTGAGTGGGAAGGGACCTTAAAGCCATCCAGCCCCAACCCTGCTATGGGCAGGGACACCTCCCACTGGCCCAGGTTGCTCCAAGCCCCGTCCAACCTGGTCTTGGACACTTCCAGGGATCCAGGGGCAGCCACAGCTTCTCTGGGAAATCCATTCCAGCCCCTCCCCACCTTCCCAGGGAAGAATTCCTACCCTATATCCCATCTAAATTCACCTCCTTACAGCTTAAGGCCATCTGCAGACAATGTTTGCAGGGGCTCTGTGGGGATGGGCCCATCAAGTGCTGGCTCACGTGTTTCCCTTGGATGGAAAGGATGCTGTACATCCCTCGTTCCCTGATGGATGTAAAAATGCCATAAGGACATGGCAGCAAACCCTCCATCCTCAGGAAATGCTCCCCACACACAGTGTTTGGTAAACACCTTTCCCACAGACTGGAGCCCAGAATGTTTAAGCTGAACACATTCCAAATTGATGCAGAGTAGGAGTGAAAAGAAAGGGAGAGGAAAAAAAAAGCACCAAAAACCCCTAAACTAGTTTAAAGCCTCGTTTGAAATTCTCCTGTTCCATCCCCGTCGCTCTGGAGGGAGAGCAGAAGTCCAGGAGAACCATCTGTGCAGGGAAGGCTCTTTCCAGAGTCGTTGCTGGGGTGTGTGATGAGTTGATTGCATTGGTTGGGAAGAGGGAGGTTGGGATGGGCCTCCAGGGAGCCTTCAGCAGCCAGAAGGGTTTTGAACGGAATAGTAATAAAGGAACGAGGGTTGGTTTGTAAATGGACGTGTTTGTTTCATGGAATCACGGGATGGTTCGGGCCGGAAGGCACCTTAAACATCATCTCATTCCAACCCCCTGCTGTGGGCAGGGGTGCCACCCACCCGTGCCAGGCTTTGTCACCCATCCCAAGAGCAGTGTCACGTGTCAGGGGGTGCCAAGAGAGCTTGGTTTCGGGGGGGAGTTGAGGTTGAATTAGAGCAGAGTTTTGTTCCCGGCGTTTCTCGCGGCAGACCCGTCTGTGGTAGTTTGGTCTGGGCCTTCCTTGGTGACCGGTTTGTAGCCAAGGAAGGGCCCAGATTTACCCAGTATTCCCTACGATTTTTACGTAAGCCGAGCTATAAGAAGAAAGGAGGAGAGGCCTTCACTCTCTTTCCTTCCAGCAGCTTGGAGGTGCAGGTTCCCTGGTGTTGAGTCTGTTGTGTTGGGGAGCGAGGCCTGGTGAGGCTTGGTGAGGCCTAGTGAGGCCTAGTGAGGCCTGGTGAGGCCTGGTAAGGCCTTGTTGACCTTGGGAGGCGGAGGTTGCCGGCGATCGTTCCAGAGCGACTCTCGGTTGTCCCAAGGAGAGTAGTGAGATATTTCTTTGCCAACTCTTTTAGTTGCTAGATATTGGGCTACTAATCGGGATATATATATATTTTATTTTGGTTTTGTTCCTTTTCCCTTCCCCCTTCCCTTTCTCTTGTGAAATTGTATATATATTTCAATTGTATATAACTGTAACATAAGTGTAAATATATTTATATATATATTGCTATAGCTGTCTCTCTCGTTTCGGGTTTTTCTTGGTTGTTTTTCTCCCTCTTCTCCCTGAGGTTTTGGGGGAGGGGGGGACTTCTTGTGGTAAGGTTTGGAGACTTGGCAGGGAGCCAGCTTCAAACCATATCACCGTCCCACCGTGGATTTTGGAATCCCTGAGCGGCCACTGGCCAACAAATTCTGCTGCAAACCAGCGTGAGGTCGTGTGGGAAGCTCTGGTGTGGCTGAGTGGCACTGGAGATGGGCAGGAAGCCTTCAGCAGGGAGCTGGAGACACGGGAAGGCAAGGAGCATGTGGAATGTGTGCTAGGGAAGGATCTCGAGCGGTGAGTGTGTCCTTCACCCCGCTGTTAACAAAGAGGAGCAGGGGCCAAAGGGCTCTTTGAAATGGAAACAAAGGCTGAAGCTCCCGTCTCAGAAGGTTCTGTGTCTGCTCACCAGGTTTGGAAAACTGTTTCTGTGGTTACGGAACAAACAGGATCAGACAAAGGCAGGACACGTAAGGGAGCCCGGGAGGGAGGTCGGGGTGAGCCTGGGGGGAGGCTGCTGACTGCAGATGAGGACTTGCACAGGGGTTTGGAGACCTCCAGGTCCCTTCAGATGGTCAGATAGAGCAGTGCTGGGAGCAGGAGTTGTTTTCTGATCCCAGGGGGGAAAAAAAGAAGCCAACTGGAGCTGGTTGGTGTTTGTGTCTGTGAAGGAACTGCTTGGGATCGCTCATCCTTCGTCACCAGCAGAAGGGCTGAGGTGTCAGTTCCTGACAGAAGGAGGCTTGGGGAAAAAAACCACTGGAGTTTCTGCTTTCCTGACTCGTTCTGAGCCTCAAAGGCAGCGCTGAAGGCCTTTGGTTGGCTCGTGAAAGGCTGTGCAGTAGAGCTGGGGCTGGGCTGGGCTTCCCCACGCTCTGAGGTTGGAGGTGGCAGCACCAATTCTCACCCAGATGGCAGAGAAAACAATGGAGAGATGGCAGCTCTGATTGTTCAGGATGGATCCTGAATCCATTCCTCAGGAGGGAAACCTTCCACGGTCAGAAAAGTGCTACGTGGCCCTTCTTTCAGTCCTTAAAGGAGCCTTCTTGGAAAGGTGGAGCAGACTTTTGGTAGGGCCTCTAGGGGTAGGATGAGGGGGAATGGCTTCCCAGTGACAGAAGGCAGAGTTAAATGGGATATGGGGAAGGAATTCCTGGCTGGGAGGGTGGTGGGGCCCTGGCCCAGGTTGCCCAGAGAAGCTGTGGCTGCCCCTGGATCCTTGGAAGTGTCCAAGGCCAGATTGGACAGGGCTTGGAGCAACCTGGGCTGGTGCAAGGTGTCCCTGCCCATGGCAGGGGGTGGCACTTGGCTGGGCTTTGAGGTCCCTTCCAGCCAAACCATTCCATGATTCTGTGATCCACTAACCTCTGGGGCAGGAAGGGCTGTTCAGAAACAGGGAGATGAGGAAGAGAGGCAGAGGAACTCCTGGTGTGACCCTCAGAACTCAGCTGGCCTGTGGTTTCCAGATGACCTCGGGCACATCCTCCCCACTGTGCCTGTCCCTTCCCCCTGGTGACAGCTGGGCAGGGGTTGTGCCCTGCTCTTTGAAGACCCTTTGCAACCACAGGCACATGGAAGGATGACCTGCCTGATGCTCCAATAGATCTTTTTGTGTGGCGTCTCCCCATAACTCCATGTGCCTTTCCAGCTCAGTCTCCCTGAATTATTCCCTGCTCCAGATTCCTTCCTGCCTGTCCTTTCTGTGCCTGGACACCAGCCAGCAATCCCACACCCATTCTCTTCCCCCATCCCCTCTGAACCCCGCTCCAGTGCGATCCTCAGGATTCGTTTCCTCATCCAAAGGGTTCAAGGGAAGGGTGAAAGTGTCCTCAGAGGGTAGGAAGGAGCGTTTGGGTGTGGAGGGAGTTTGCTCCCAGCTGTGCTCACGCTGTTCCAGGGTATCTTTTCAGCTTTTTAAAAGGGAACAGCCCCTAGATATAAAAGGGTTTAGGTAGTTTTAAACCAGTAATTAAAAATAAAATAAAAAAAAGAATTAGTGGTGACTCAAACATCCATAAAAAAGGTCTGGCATAAAACTCCAGCTCTGAAGTTCTGAAATGTATGGCTTATAAATGTCACTTTTGTGGGAGTCTCTACAAGTGGAGTTGGTTTCTTTGAGACAGGGCAGAGCCTCTGAACTCCACTGAGCAGCACCCTGCTCTGCAGCACTGCCTGAAGAACCATTTGGGGGTTTGGGGGATGGTTACAGGGAAGTGGATTTTGGGTTAGGAAAAGAGTTTATCTGGTCACCGCAGCGGAGAAGCTCTCGGGTAACTCCCAAGTGCCAAGAACTTTCTGTGCTCGGCTCTTTGTTTTTTTCCATGGCTTTTTATTTTTAATATAAATAAGCTGCAACGTTTTTCTGGTTCCTCCGTGGCAGAAGCAGCAAAGTGACCCCGGGTGAGTCACGGGGCTGCCTGAACATGTCCACCACTTTCACTCCGTGTTCTTCGGGGTGCCACGGCCACAGCACATTGTTTGTTGTCTCATCTGACTCCAGAGAGACAAGTGAACTGCTGAGACTGACTGTAAAACACAGAAAGAGCTGCTGCTTTGGTCAAGTCACAGGAAAAGTCTGATAGAAGTGTGGTTCAGATCCGAAGTTTGGATTAATGCCCTGGCTGATTCATCCCGGGATTTTTGGATGGGGTTTTTACATCCTCTCCCTCAAGTCACCCAGCAAAGCTTGAGTAGGTGTGTAGGGACCTGCAAAGCTTCCTGGCCAAAGCCCAGCCCAGACAATGGGCTCCTTGTGCTGCTGGGACTCTGAGCTGCTTTTTCTCTTGTTTATTTGTTCTTTGTTTCCTGCTCTTTGTCGTTTGTCCGAGGGAACAGGGAATTAGGGCTGGGGCTGTTGATTAAAGGGGAGCTTTAGGCTCGTTGAGCTGCAGGGAGGGAGCTCTGCTCTAACAGCCTGTGGCAAGTGGAATTCAGGGGCTCCCCAAACAAATTAAAAAAAACCCAAAACAGAACCCTTGAAAATATCTGGAAATATGTCCTTCTTCCAGCAGCTGAAAGGTGTTGTGGATTCTGTCAATCATGGAATCATGGAATAGTTTGGAAGGGACCTTAAAGCCCATCTTGTTCCAGCCCTGACACCTTCCACCAGCCCAGGTTGCTCCAAACCCCAGCTCCAGTGTCCCAGCCTGGCCCTGGACACTCCCAGGGATCCAGGGGCAGCCACAGCTTCTCTGGGCAACCTGTGCCAGGGCCTCCCCACCCTCCCAGCCAGGAATTCCTTCCTAATACTTCATAAATCAAACGACCTTGTCTTTGAGATTGGGTGGATTCTGCTCTTTTGGTGGTTTCTCTGGACTTTCTTAACTGGGTTTGGGAAGAAGCTGGGTCCTTTTTGGTCTGTTTTCTTATTTTTGTTTTTAATGTTTGTGGTCATGACAAGACCTGTATTTCCCTGCTAGAGAAGCTTTGCCTTTCTTTGGGCAGGGTTTAGCCACATGACTGCCCTGAACTGTCCCTCTCTCTCCCCCTCTGGAGGTCCCAGGAAAGGTTGGGTGTCCTGGACCCTCTGACTCCCAGCCCAGGATGTTAAATTGCCATTATCTGTATTTTATGTTAACTCAGGGAGCTGCTGAAGTCCTGGCAAGTGTTTCCTCTCTGCCAAGTCTCCTGTGGAAATGGTGACCAGGGGCAGAAAGGGGTCTGTGATAACCACTGTCCTCTGTCAGGGAGATCCTTCTTCCCTCTGCAAGATGGGCAAGGCTTGAGTCATCCCAACCCCTTCCTGCTGCCTGAAGGAGATTTCACTTCTACTCTGGGGTTCCACACCCTTGTTACAGAGCCCCTGGGATTGGAAAAGCCCTCCCAGCCCATGGATCCACCCTGGGCCCCATCCCCACCTTGTCCCCCAGCCCAGAGCACTGAGTGCCACGGCCAGGCCTTCCTGGGACACCTCCAGGGATGGGCACTGCAAACCTCCCTGGGCAGCCCCTGCCAAGGCCTCACCACCCTTTCCAGCAACAAATTCCTCCTCAGCCCCAACCTGACCCTCCCCTGGCACGGCCTGAGGCTGTTGCTTTGTTGCTCCTTGATTTTTCCAGGTATCCTTGCAGAAGATGTCGGAGGGTTGGTGGGGAGGATGCAGGTTCTGGGATGAGCAGAATGGGTTCATAGAGGATCTGTTGGATGCAGAGCCAAGTCCTACATAGTCAGGAGAAGAGGAGGAAGAGGAGCCTTTCCCTTCTGGTGCCACAGAGCTGCTGGATTGGCTCAAGCAGCCTCACAACTTCACCCCTCCTCAGGATTTCCTGGTATCCCTGAAGTCATCGGACACCGGTTTTTGTGGTTCCTCGCTGTGTCCTCACTGCCAGAGAGTTCAAAAACCAGCTTTGATGAAATCAGAGTGGCAGGTCTTGGACAAATCTGGCTCTGAGTTGTGTCAGAAAGAATCAGAAAAGCCTTGTAGGTGAATGTCAGTTTTGGAGCTCTGGATGTTCCTTTTCCCGCAGCTCCGGCCTCGTCTCATCTGGGAAGTTCAGCCTTGGCTCAGTGCTCAGGTGGCTTTTTAATGCATGTAAAGGTCTGGTGCTGTCCAACCTCCCTGTCTTTACCCAGTTCCTGGGACATTTTGGAACAGAGGAAAAGAAGTGTGACGGAATCTCTTCCAGAAACAAACAAAATGGAGAGAACAAGAGCAAAAAAACACTTTAAAGGAGTTAAATAACCTTTTGGGCCTGTTTTAACACTTCAGAGTGAAACTTGAGACGAGTCACTGAACACTTTGACCCCATTTGTCTTGAACTTTCACTGACTTTATCCCTTTTCTCTGTTTTGAACATGTGAAACGGGTTTATGTTATCAAATATCCACACCCACTGGAATGCCAGCCCCTTTCCAGGTGCCCAGCAGAGACCTGCTCACACCCTGCTGTGTCAGACAGAGTAAAAGTTCAGATTTTAGCTTTTCTTTTTAGTGCCACAAAGGTTTTCATCATCATTTCACTGTGCTTGTATTTGGGGATTTATTGCCTGTGACATTGGGACACGGAGGCTGCTTTAATATAAACACCGAGTGTCTGATGGTTGGGTCTTAAAATAACTTCCAGCTGATTTAAGGCAGAGTCAGTGACCTAAATGTACCTGGTTTTGCTTGGGAACACTCCAGGTGAGGACTGGAGGTGCAGAGCTTTGCCTGCTTCGGGGTCCTGACTTTCCTGGGGACTTGGAATAACGGGATTGAGACGTGGAAACCCAAAGGTCTGGGTTGTTTCCACTGCTTTAAACTGCATTGGTTCAATAAGCTGCTCCAGCCCAGGTAGAAGGATTTATTTATCTTATCTATATTGATGTTATTTATATTGTTCATGTTTATTTACGTTATTTATATTATTTATATTTATTTGCACCCTTGTGCTGAAATCCATTTCTCTCATGAATGTAAGATACCTCCCACTAGCCCAGGTTGCTCCAAGCCTTGTCCATCCTGCCCTTGGACACTTCCAGGGATCCAGGGGCAGCCACAGCTTCTCTGGGCAACCTGGGCCTCCCTCCCCACCCTCCCATCCAGGAATTCCTTCCCAATATCCCCTCTAACCCTGCCCTCTGGCAGTGGGAAGCCATTCCCCCTTGGCCTGTCCCTCCAGGCCCTTGTCCCAAGTCCCTCTCCAG